GCTATGTCGATCGCTCGCCGCTTTCGCCGCGCTCTGTCGCCTGGTGCGAGACGCTAAGGGCATGAGCGGTATACCACCATCTGGGGGGTAGCCCCTGCCATCCGTGGAGTAGCCCCTGCCATCCGTGGAGTAGCCCCTGCCATCCGCGGAGTAGCCGTCGCCGATGATGCCGGCCTTGCCCGTTTCCTCGTTGCCCTCCTCCACGTCCTCGTCTCCTTCGCCCTCCTCGTCTCCTTTTCCCTCCTCGTCTCCTTCCCCCTCCTCGTCTCCTTCGCCCTCCTCGTCTCCTTCCCCCTCCTCGTCTTTTTCCCCCTCACATCCCTCTTCCCCATCTCGCGCCGACAGCCCCTCCGCCGTTCCCGACAACATAACCTCCGCCGTTCCCGACAACGTTAGCTCCGCCGTTCCCGCACCGAGAACCCCTCCCGCGCCGACAGCCCCTCCCTTGCCGAAAACCCCTCCCTCACCGACAACCCCTCCCGTGCCGAGAACTCGATCGTGTCGACTAGGTCAGTCATCCCGAGGGCCCGCAGGTCAGTCGTCCCGATGCTCCCCTCCGGCGAGGAGCGCTGCAGCGCGGTCACGATGATGATCGCGGTCGGGTATATGCCCTGGGGGAGAGAAGGGGGTCAGAGAGGGTGGGGGAGTGGGGTGTTAGCGAGGCGTGGTGAGGAGAGAAGGGTGGAGTGCCCCTAGGGAACAAGTCTGAAGAAAGGACAAGTCTGAATAAAGGACAAGGTCTGAAGAAAGGACAAGTCTGAAGAAAGAACAGGTCTGAATAAAGGACAAGTCTGAAGAAAGGACAAGTCTGAAGAAAGGACAAGGTCTGAGAACCAAAGACAGCGCCAGGGAGCAAAAGACGTTGCTCGAGAATGGAAGGACGGCGCTCGAGAATGGAAGGACGGTGTTCCGGAACGGAAGCCCACGCTCGGGAACGAAAGACGACGACGACTAGAGAAAGGGCTACGACTAGAGAAAGGGCTACGCCTATGTAGAGAAAGGGCTACGCCTATGTAGAGAAAGGGCTACGCCTATGTAGAGAAAGGGCTACGACTATGTAGAGAAAGGGCTGCGACGAAAAAACCCAAACGTCACTCCAAACCCCAAACCACTCACCGACAACGAAGGAATCACGCTGCCCATCAGGTAGGCCGCCGACACCGGGCTCCCCGCGCCGAACGCGGCGGGCAGGTCCGCGAGGCAGACGATGAGGAAGGCGATCTGGGGAGTGGGGGGGTTAGATATAGGAAGGGAGGGGGGTTAGATAGGGGTTGGATAGGCGGGAAAGAAGGGAGGGGGAGGGTGTGAGCGAGAGGCGACAAGGGGGGTGAGGGGGTTAGATACGAAGCAAGGGAGGGGGGTTAGATATGAGCAGGGGTTGGATAGGGGTTGGATAGGCGGGAAATAAGGGAGGGAAAGAAGGGAGGGGGAGGGGGTGAGCGACAGGCGACGTGGGGGGTTAGATACGAGCAGGGGTTTTTTGTTGGGGGCGGAGGGGGAGCAGGTATGAAGGGCAGAGGAAGAAAGGGGATGGGGTAAGCGAGCGGCGATGTGGAGGTGAGCAAGAGGCGACGTGGGGGTGAGCAAGAGGCGACGTGGGGGTGAGCGAGAGGCGACGAGGGGGGTTAGATAGGCGGGAAAGAAGGGAGGGAGGGGGGGAGGGGGATAGGCGACGCGTGGAGCAAGGGTAACCACCCACTCGTCCCTCCCCTCGCCCCACCCACTCAAACACACCAGCACCCCCCTCCCCTTGTCCCACCCCCACAAAAACTCACCCACCACACTCAAAAGAAACCCACCCACTCACCCAAACGCCCACATACCCCGCGCCCGACTCGACCATCAGCAGCAGCACCCGCTCGATCTGCGTGTGCGGAGTCGGCTGCGCGAGCTGGTCCTTGATCGTGCGGCGGTATTCCCTGGGGGGAGGGGGGGTTAGATAGTGGTGAGGGGCAGATGGTGGATGAGAGGGTGTTAGATGGGAGGGAGAGGGTGTTAGGCGTTGAATAGTGGATGAGGGAGGGAGAAGGGGAAAGGGGTGAGTAAGGGAGAAGGGGGTGAGATACTGACAACGATGGGATGGGGCGGATATTGGAGGGAGGGTGGGAGGGAGGGAGGCGGATGAGAGAGCGAGGGAAGCGGATGCGAGAGGGAGGGAGGCGGATGCGAGAGGGAGGGGGGCGGATGCGAGAGGGAGGGAGTGACAAGTGAAGGAGTGTCATGTAGGTCGAAGCCAGTCATGCACGTCGAAGCCAGTGAGACCACTCAAGCCAGTGAGACCACTCAAACCGGCTAGACCAACTCACCACACCTTTCCCCAGACCGCCGCCGTCGCGACGATATTGGTGAGGAGGATGGGGAGGATGCTGAGGAGGAGGCGCGCCATGCGGGCGGACCTGCTCATGCCGCCGATGTGCACGAGGACGATGTCGCCGATGGTGCCGCCTGTGAGCAGCAATGATGAGTAACGTGAATGGGATCGATGATGAGTAGCATGAAGGGCAAGGAGGCGGAAGGAGCACGAGGCGGAAGGAGCACGAGGAGCGGTGATGAGCACGAGGAAGAAGGCATACGAGGAGCGGTGATGAGCAACATGAAGGGCAAGGAGACACACACACACGCACCGACCGTCCCGGCCATACAGAGCACGAGCAACGCCTTGACGACGCGGTTGTCCGGCCACAGCGCCCACGCGCGCCACACCACGATGAGGTCGGAGAGGATGCACTGCAAGGGCGTCCCTTCAGCGCGCGAAGATCCCCCGGTTATAAGAATGAACGGGATATAAGCATGAACGGGATATAAGAATGAACGCGTTATAACGATGAACGCACACTAACGCGGGACAACGTCAAATCCGTCTTGTTCAGCGCCGTCATGAGGGAGAGGATGGCCGGGGTGGGGGCCGTGGGGACGCGGAGGAGTGTGTAGTGGAAGGTCGAGGCGAGCCAGGCGGTGGATAGGACGAAGATCGTTGCTGTTACGGCCGGGAGGAAGGTGCCCAGTTTCGAGCGGCGGCTGGAGTGGGTGAGGGGGTCAGCGCCGTGGTCGCTTAGGGCGGTTGTCTCGAATCGGACGATCAAACAGCCCGTGAAGCAAGCGGTCCACGCACGCAAGGACAGAGATAGCAGAGCAGAACAGCGCGACGTGGATGCCTATAGTAGAATAAAGACGACTCGTCAGCGCCTCCGAAGCGCGTTCGAAATAGCGTAGCGCACGCACCATAGCAGATAACATTGCACGCGATGAAAATGCAGAGCGCCTGGAGGCGTTCGATGTCGCCTGCTTGAAGGCGACCGACATCGCCTGCTTGAAGGCGACAGACATCGCCTGCTAGAAGGCGCCCGACATCAGCTGCAGACACCGGCCGCGACACCGCGTTCATCCTGGACGCGGGCGAGATTCATGGACCGCGCTAGCGCGGGTCGACGTCCGATCGAGGTTGTACTTGCTACGAGCTCGCGAGTCAAGCTGGCTGGTCGTCAAAAGATGGTCGGTCGCGGATGAAAAGTTGAAGCTCAGGGTCGCCGTGACCCGCTCGTTGACGCCCCCCATCACTGTCCGCATCCCTCCATCACTGTCCGCATCCCTCCATCACTGTCCGCATCCCTCCATCACCGTCAGCATCTTGTCAGCATCCTTTCCTCCTGCCCAGCGTGCTGGGGGCGGGCGCGTTATGATTGAAAATGTATCGTCCTGATGGAAAACGTATCGTCCTGATGCCAGGAAAATGTATCCATTTTTGGGTTTTACAATTGCCCCCGCACGGTCACGTGTAATAAGGGCGTGATAAGAGGTGATCACTGCGTTGCTCGCTGTTGCTCGACGTCTTGTTTTCGTCGCTCGATTTCTATGATGCATGAATCGGGTTCACCACGCATAGATATGGGTCCGGGTCCATGTGTGTTGTAGTGATCATGGATTGATTAGCGCTTGGGAGGGGGGGGAGTTTGGAAAGGGTACAAGCGAAGGGACGGTACAGGCGGAGGAAGGGGAGGGGAGCGGTACAAGCGAAGGAACGGGAGAGGTGGAGGTCGGCGAGGTCTGGGGTGAAGAAGCGTGGATGGGATACTAAGCGTGGATGGGATGCACGGCGTGGATGGGATGTAAAGCGTGGATGGGATGTAAAGCGTGGATGGGATGTAAAGCGCGGTTAGGATGCAAGCGTGACGGGCGAAACGAGACGTGATGAGGGGGGAGGGCGTGTATGCGCATTGGGGTACGTGTATGCGACGTGAGCATGCACACGACGTGAGGGTGCATGAGGTGGCGTGAGGGGCATGTATGCGAGGGCAGGGAACGTGCATGAAGGGAACGCGGGATGTGGTGATGGGGTCTGCAAGCATGGAAGGGGAACGCGCTTGACGCGGCTGGGAGGTGGTGGATGGATGATGATGAGGAGGTCTCGCTCGAGGTCGACGAAGGATGCGTCGGCCGAGGTCGACGATGGATGGATGCAGGAGGCGAGCGGGGACACGGGACACGGACCGACGGACGGGCAGGGATCGAAGGCGACGGTCTGCCTGAGCGAGGAGCGAGCGCGTCAGCTTGAGAACCGACAGCGAGCACACAGCGCACGCACCCAACGCCCGGTCCTCCCTGGCCGCCCGCACCCTCGTAGCCGCCCGCACCCTCGTCGCTGCGTCCCTCGTCGTAGCTGGCGTCACTCATCGTAGCCGCGTCACTCATCGTAGCCGCATCACTCGTCTTGCCTCTCTCAACCGGCACTGGACCACATCACATTCGATTAGCACACGCCATGACGGCAGGACGCAAGCAGGGGAACGCCGATCACCCGCGATCAAGTCCCGCTCCCTCCTGAGTCCTCCCTCCATCTCAACCCTCCCGCTTGTCCCTCTGCCAGCGCCCCTTGTCCCTCTGCCAGCGCCCTCCCGCCTGCCCATGTCCCGTATCCTGTCGAGAGTACGCCTTGGTAATACACACATCAGGTTACGGTACAGTTTTACACTCGATAGTATTCAATGTTGATGCTGACCACAGCCCTGCTAGCTCAGTGGTAGAGCGTCGCACTCGTATAGTATTGCTGCGCGTTCGTTACGATGCGAAGGTCAGTCGTTCAAGTCGGCTGTGGGGCACTGTAGGCATCCGACATTTTTTTCACCCGATTCTCTTGAGACCCGATTCTCTTGAGACCAGACCCCGTTCTCGTCAGTCTACCGTTCTCGTCAGTCAACCGACTTTTCAGTCTACCGAGTTTTCAGTCAACCGACTTTTCAGTCAGTCGAGTTCTGTGCTCCTTCCCCCTCCTCGCCTCTCTCCCACCATCCCTCTTCACCTTCCTCCCCTCTCCACCCTCCTTCCCTCCTCCCTCCCCCTCCCATTCCCTTACTCGTCACCCTCCTCCCTCCCCTCGCCTCCCTCTCCCGTTCTCGTTCCCCTTCCCTTCCCCTCCCACCCCGCCTCTCAACCCGTCCCCTCCCCCAATCTCCTCTCCCCCGTCCTCTCCCGTTCTCTCAACTCGTCCCTCTCCCGATCCCTCTCCTTCGCCCTCCCCCGTTGTCGACGGGTGGCTCTCGACTCGTTCCCCTTCCTCTCCTTCCATCGCCGTTCTCGCCCCCTTCCCCCCTCCCCCTTTCTTCTCGGCTCGCCTCCCCCTCCTTCGCCCTCCCGTTCCCTTCCCCCGCCTCACGGGCGCGTTCCCCATCGCTCCCGCTCTCCCTTCGTTCTCCTCCCCCGGTATACCTCCCCCTCCCCCTCTCCCTCTCCTCCCCCGTTCTCGACTCGTCGCCCACCCCGCCTCTCGGGCGCGTGTTTCCCCCCTCTCCCTCCTCCCCTCCCCCCGCCTCACGAGCGCGTTTCCCTCCTTTCGTTCTCAACTCGTTCTCCCTCCCCTCCCTCCTCCCTCCCCTCGTCGCCCTCCTCCCTCCTCTCCCCACTCCCTTACTCTTCTCCCTCGTTCTCGGGCGCGTTTTCCTCCCCTCCTTCCATTATCGACTCGTTGTTCCCCGCCTGTCAACCCGTTGCCCCTCTCCCCTCTCCTTCGCCCTTCCCTTGTTCTCTTGGACGCCTCACCCGTTCCCCCTTCACCCTCCCCTCCGATCTCGGAGCCCTCTCCCGCTCTCGAGCGGGGTTTCCCTCGTTCTCCCTCTCCCCCGATCTCTCCCCTCCTTCCCCTCCCCCCCTGTTCTGGAGCGCGTTCCCCATCGCTCCCCCCTCCCTCCCCGGCGTTCTCCCCATCACTCCCGCTTTCGACGCGGCTCCCCTCCTTTCCCCTCGTCGCCCTCCTCCCTCTCCCGTTCTGTCGACTCGCCTCACCCGCCTCTCGTTCTCCTCCCCCTCTCCCCCACCCCGCCTCTCGGGGCGCGTGTTTCCCCCCTCTCCCTCCTCCTCTCCACCCTGTTCTCTCAAGTTGTTTCAACTCGTTTCCACCCTCCCCGTTCACGAGCGCGTTCTCCCTCCTTCCCTCCTCGTCACCCTCCTTCCCACCCCACCTCTCAACTCGTCACCCTCCTTTCCGACTCTTTGCCCTCCCCGCGGCCAACGCACTCGCCCTCCCTCGTTCTCGCCTCGTTTTCCTCTCGCCTTCTCCCGCTGTTCTCAATTCTTCCTCCCACATTCACGTTCTCGTTCTCGACTCCCTTTTTCCTCGCGAGTCCCCCCCCCCTTTCCCCGCCGCACCCCTCCGACGCTCTCTTAGTGCATAGTACGCCCACACGTGCACAAGATAGAAAAAAACGCACACGATATAAAAAACGCACAAAATAGAAACAGCGCACAAGATAGAAAAAAAACGCACAAGATATAGAAAGCGCACAAGATAGAAAAAGCGCACAGCATAGAAAAAACGCACAAAATAGAAAAAGCGCACAAGATAGAAAAAAACGCACACGATATAAAAAAACGCACAAGATAGAAAAAAACGCACAAGATACTTAGAAAAAACGCACAAGATCCCTGAACGTCTGCCTTGGGAGACTAGCACAAGATAGACAAAGAATGATTAATGAACCCCCATGTTATGAAAACCCACGCCACCCATTGAAAACCCACGCCGCCCATTGAAAACCCACGCCACCCATTGAGTTTTGAAAACCCACGCCGCCCATTGAAAACCCACGCCGCCCATGTTATAAACAACAAAAAAACACGCACGTACTATAGAACATGCCCCACAGCCGGATTGAACGACTGACCTTCGCATATTGGGTAAGTTTTTACAAGTGCGACGCTCTACCACTGAGCTAGCAGGGCGTGTAACTGGTGAGTCAGGCAGGGCGTGAGCTCAAAGACAGCGTTGTAGAAGTGAGGAAAGCGTCGTAGAAGCGAGGCAAGAAGATGCACGTGAGCGAGGAAGGCGCTATATGAGAGCGAGGCAAGAAGCCGTGAGAGCGAGTAAAAGCCACCGCATGAGCGAGGAAGGCGCTTTGGGAGGGAAGACACGAAGACGGAAGTCAGGATTTGCATGACAGGAGACCCGGCGGCGCGGTCATGAAGAAAGCCTGGCGCCGCGGGTGGAAGAGCAGGCGCCGTGGTGGAAAGGACCAGGTGACGCGGTGGAAAGGCCCAGGGCCGCCGCCGCGGTGCAGGAATGACTTTTACATGCGTGGAAGACGATGCAGCGAGAAGGGCCTGAGGATAACAAGAAGGGCCTGAGGATAACAAGAAGGGCCTGAGGATAACAAGAAGGGCCTGAGGATAGCAAGAAGGCTAAGAGGACAGCGAGAAAGGAGCGAGACGACGAAAAGTAGCGAGACGACGAGAAAGGCGCGAAGACAACAGAAAGGGAGCGAAGACAACGAGAAGGGCGTGAGGACAACGAGAAGGGCGTGAGGACAACGGCAGAGTCTCAATGAGAAGAGCACAGACAACGAGAAGAGCGTGAAAACAATGGCAGGTGAGCGAAGACGACGAGAAAGACGTGCAAATGACGAGAAAGACGTGCAAATGACAAGAAAGACGTGCAAATGACAAGAAAGACGTGCAAATGACAAGAAAGCCAGGAAAATGACAAGAAAGCCAGGAAAATGACAAGAAAGCCAGGAAAATGAGGGGAAGAGCGCGAGGACATGAAGAAGACATTCTATGCGATCCGAGGATATACGAGGTGTCTATCCTGGACTACGAGAGGCGTGTATCCCGGACTACGAGAGGCGTGTATCCTGGACTACGAGAGGCGTGTATCCTGGACTACGAGAGGCGTGTATCCTGGACTACGAGAGGCGTGTATATCTAGGATACAAGAAGCGTGTACTTATCACGGTTGGGAAAGAGAGACGACGGCGGAAGAGAAGTATGGACGACGGTGGTAGAGAAGTATGGACGACGGCGGAAGAGAAGTAAGGACGACGGCGGTAGAGAAGTATGGACGACGGTGGCAGAGAAGTATGGACAACGGTGGCAGAGAAGTACTACATACAAAGACACGGCAGAGACTTGGTACATACAAAGACACACTCTAGAGAAGTACATACAAACGCTCTAGAGAAGTACATACAAAGGGGAAAGAGCGGTACATATCAATAAAAAGGCAGAAGCCTGCATAGGAAGGCGAAAGCGACGCGCCGAAGCCGAATGATGCTGGAATGGGTTGGAGGTGATAAGTAGAAGACAATGGGCAAGGCGAACGAAGGCAAGGAGGCGAACGAAGGAAAGGCGAAAATAAGGGGACGGCGAAGAATAGGGGAGGACGGCGAAGAATAGGGGAGGACGGCGAAGAATAGGGGAGGGCGGCGAAGAATAGGGGAGGGCGGCGAAGAATAGGGGAAAACGGCGAAGAATAGGGGAGGGCGGCGGATGAAGGCAAGGCGACGGACGCCTAGAAGGCGACTGCGTCAACGCGTTGTCAAAAGTCCAAAAAAGAGGCGGCCGTGAGCTAGGACACGGTCAGCGGGTCGAAGGGAATAGCGGGTCGAAGGGAATGGCGGGTCGAAGGGAATAGTAGGTCAAGAGAAAGAGCAGGTTGAAAGGAAGTGGGTCGAAAGGGATAGTAGGTGGAACGGAATAGCGGGTCAAAAGAAATAGCGGGTCAAAAGAAATAGCGGGTCGAGACGAATAGCAAGTCGAGGGGAATAAAAATGTCGCAAAGAGTAGCGGGTCGCAAGGGCAGAGCGGCGCATGGGCGGTGCGCGAGGATAGATGTCCTCTGATACCTATCGTCTGAGCTCGTCAACATACGCGCGTGCAGTAACCGTGCATAACTTACCTGAGGATGAGGACATAAAAGCTACCGGGACCACCCCGCAGATCCACACGCAGGTCTCCTCCTAAGTATCTACAAACACATCTCATCAGCCTTGCCGAAAAGCAAGAATGAGGGACACAAGACATACCAGGGTGCTCAAGACATACCAGGGGATTCCGGCGAGGTATGCCCAGTCACGGCCTTCAAGCGCGATTGGCCACGCGCCCATAGATCCCAGTCTTCCGCGCCTCCAGAAACGCCGGCATGAGTCTCTTCACCTCCGCCCACCGCTCTCGTCTCTGGCTATCCTGCTGGAACGGTAGCTCAGAGTCCCACTGCAATTTGGCCTCCACATCCAGCGGCTCCAGGAAAGGAAAGTAGCGCGTCAGGAGTGAGGCGACGCGCTCCGGCTCGCTGCCGATAGGCGCGCGCAGGACGTCGAGCTTCCGAAGGCGGCAGGGAGAGCGGGCGAGAGTGCTGCCCTCCAGGTGATCCCTGGGAAGCTCAGTCGCATCGATCGCGAGGGCGAGCTTCTCGAGGTCGGGACAGCCCCTTGCGAGGGACATGAGGCTAGCGAGCGTGCACGCGGGCACCATTTCGCCCGCGTCGCACAGGCTAAGGGTGCGGAGATGCGGCCACGCAGCGGCGAGGCGTGCGATGTCGGCGTCATCGAAGCGAATGATGTCGAAGACGCGGATGGATACGCTGACTAGGCCAGAGAAGGCGCACTCATATAAAGTGTCTAGCGGCAATTCGGCGAGAAACGCGCGCTTCATGGTGTTCGCCTTGTGTGCCGCAAGCTCCTTCGTCGCGACACCGTTCTTCTTCTTCTTCTTCTTCTTTCCAGACACCTTGATGGGCTTCCGAGATGAAGGCACGTTCACACGCGGCACCACAGCTTCCTGACGAACGCTCGCCTCGTTGTTCGACGACGCGCTGCCGACAACGCCACTGACTGTGCTGGAGTCCTGGATAGAATCGGAGGTACGCCCTCGCTGTCTTGAAGTGGATTCTGAGAGTCTCGACGATCGTCTCGGCATTGTTGGCTTGTGGATGATGGTGGAAGGAGGACAAGGTGCGGCAACTGGTCACGGTATTACTTGGTCACATTGCAGGCCACGGTCATGTGACCTAACCCGCCATTGTTCAATTTACGCCGGTATTCTCCATAGACGGTCACGACGAATTGCATGCAATCACTGATTTACCTAGGTACATATGGATCATCAGATGATTGGATTGACAGTTCTACCATGTTCGGGGCTCGGGAACAAATCAAGTAAGTAGCGTACAACCTGCCACGCCGTGTGCATACTACAGGGTCCGTCGGACGAGGTGATCCGCCGCCATGACGTGCATTAATCCCGGCCGGAGTTGTCTACTTCACCGACCTGAGATGAAGGCTCTACTTGCAAATCTACGCACATAATGGACGCGTAGTCGATGTCGAGGCCGGGAACAAAATCATGCAAGGTAACTGGGTTCCTTGCATGTCTGCGTGGAAGATGAGCATTCATGGTACCAATCATAAGATGGAGCACTCACGCTTCACGAATATGGCCATACAGTGCTTCGGATTCCGAGAATCGCTCGCTGCAGTGAGCGCAGAGCGCATCTTTGCCACGGAAGGTCAATGTGCAGGCCTTGGCCGCCAAGCATGCGCGCGCCGTGGCCGTATCACTGGGACCGAGAAGCGCTAGCCGATTCTCTCGATTGTATCGATAGTTGGACAGCTAGAATGACATGCATCAGACAGAAACCACTGTATGCCAAAATCATACACACCACGCATCGCCACGAGTACACTATACGCTCGCCGTAGGGATCCCCAGCGAAGTGATACCAGGGATCAAGCTTGTCCATCTCGTGGATAGTCATCGTATGAGGGTGGCCCCCCGCCAGCTCTACCATACGGCGTGCCATGATGTTAAAGATGTTACCGAAGCGCAAGCTAGAGATGCTCCACGGCATCTCCACGCGGCCATACGTCCAGCCACTGAGCTTAGGCCAAACAAGCACCGCAGGATACGTGAGATCGCAGCCACCGGACCCGTCCAAGAAGATCGCTGTCGCTAGTTTGAGGGTGTCCGGAGTAGGCGTGTCCGTGCCAAGCGCATCCTTCGCGCTCTCGTCGGCCTTCAGACGCTTTTCTACGAACTCTAGCACCTGCTGTTCCGCCTGTGTTTGCCAGTCATCGAAGACGGTCTGTGGAATCGAGCACAGCGCGTCGAGAAGCGCTCGCTGCGGCAGTTCTTGATCGAATGGTACGTCCATAATGACCCGTTGGAGAACTTCGAGCTTTGCAAGGTCGCCGAGAATCTGTACTCATGAACGAGATCAAAGATGAGATCACGAAGCTCCGGGGTACGCAGGACAGCGTGCATCTTGAATGGCACAGCAAGCGGCGGCGGTGGGTCGAGATTGCTACAGATGTTATGTCACACGAGAATTAGGACTCCCTCAAAATCTGCTCACCGTAATTTTCTATGCTATCGGCGCTGCACTCGCACAACGAGGGGCGGAAGCGACGATCGGGGAAAAGGTCAATCGAGGTGGGAAGGACAATACCACGCACGTGGTGGCTGTGGCTTCAAGCTTGTGAGTTCGGCAAGCGCCGACTCCGAGGGCGGGCCGGATTGGTGGAGGCCGGCTTGTAGGACGAAGCTGGGACGAAGGCAAGCTGATGCTTTGGAGTGAGTCTGAGAGGCGGAACAGGTGTACGATGGTGAGTAGGCTGATGCCGGCGTCCATGAACGCGTGGTATATGGAAGCGTGACTGACCGCTTGCTGACCGCAGATGAGGGCGACTCATGATGTGATCATGATCTGTTCGCTGGAGTTCTCGACTTCCGAGTTGATGATGGTGAACTTACATCTACTACTTACTGGAACCGAGGGTGTAAGCTCGAGCCTTGACCTGAAGCCACATCGTAGAGCCACGTGTAGCGAGCGCGGTAGATGTGTCATGCCATCTCTGCAAGAGGCGTATATTAAGTACTATTAAAACCGAGAAGAGAGCGTATACCAAGGCGGAGGACGCGGCTTTTCAGAAGAGATATAGGCCTGCATACGAGGGCGGAGGACTGATATTTTTGAGGCGCATTCAAGAGCAGAAAAGAGGCGCGTATGAGGGTAGAAGAAACTCGCCGAGTGCGGATAATGATACGACTGGAGGTCATAAAGACGGAACGGGGGAGAAAACGGATCCACTGGATGAATGTGATTCAGGACTTGGCTAGTGGGTCGGAAGGGACAGCAGGTCGAATTGAACAGCAGGTCGAGATGAACAGCAGGTCGAGAGAATAGCAGGTCGAGAAGAACAGCAGGTCGAGAGGAACAGCAGGTGGAGAAAAATAGCAGGTCGAGAGAAATAGCAGGTCGAGAGAAATAGCAGGTCGAAAGGGTTGACAGCGGGGCATTGGCAGTGAGAGGGAACAAGGATTAGAACGGTATAAGAACAATCTCATGAGCTCGTCAGTACGCGCACATGATGGAATAGAAGATCGCTTACAGGACCAAGAGGGAAGCAGTGCCACCAGAAACGCCCAGCAGATGCGCACACGAGATCCCTCCCTAGCAGCGACACTACTGACCTTCATCCGCGATCAACCCCGATCCCATAAATCCCAGTCTTCCGCGCCTCCAGAAACGTAGGCATCAGCCTCCTCACCATCCTCCACCGCACCTGCCTCTGGTACTCCCCCCAAGGCACCGATTCCTCGTCCTTCTCCTCGTCCAACCCGGCCTTTACACCCAGCGGCCTCAGGAAGGGGAAGTAGCGCGTCAGGAAGGAGGCCACGTGCTCCGGCTCGCTGCAGATGGGCGAGCGCATGACGTCGAGCTTGCGCAGGCGGTAGGGCGGGCGGCCTCGGGCGGGGGCGTGGGGCTGGTCCGCCGGCTGAGGAGTATTGGTCGCGTCGCTTGGGGGCTCAGTCGCGTCGAGGGCGAGAGAAAGCTCTTCGAGGTCGGGGCAGCCTCTTGCGAGGGACAGGAGGCTGGCGAGCGTGCACGCGGGCGTCATTTTGCTCGCGCCACACAGGCTGAGCGTGCGGAGGCGCGGCCACGCAGCGGCGAGGCGCGTGATATCGGCGTCGTCGAAGCGGATGTCGAAGACATGGATGGACACGCTCACTAGGCCGGTGAATGAGAGAAGGGGAAGGATGTCTTGAAGGACGACGCGGTCGCCCTCCTTGGGCGGGTTATCACGATTTCCGAGAATGATATATTTGAGCATATGTGGTGCGCAGCAGGTGGACATGCGGACAGCGAGGAGGCGGATTGCTTCGGGCGCGAGTTTCGCGTCGACGTGGAGGCTGGTCAGTGCCTTGGGATGCAGTATTGCGATGACATCGGCCGCAAAATCGTCGTCCAGGTGTTTCCTGATGACCAGCTGTTGGAGCGAGTCGTTCGCGGGGCCCATTGGAGGGCACTCGAGAGCGACCTCGCTGTTTGCGTCCAGCGTAAGTGTACGAAGTCCCTGCAGCGCAGATACCGCGACAAGCGCAGGAGCGACGCGCGAGCAGCAAAGGTAAAGACGCAGGTGCCGTAACGATGTCCATCCTTCGAGCAGCTCCGCATAATTGGAAGGAACGTTCTCCACAACGTCGAGGTGCAATGTAGAGACTTTATTCTTCGTCTTCAGGGAAAAGAGGATGCTCATCTCCAGCGCGAGATTTTCGTCCGGAAACGGTCGATTAAGGTCGAAGTAGACTTCGGTGACGGTGCGGCTGATCAGGGCCGGGAGGCAGGGTGCGAAGTAGTCTTTGTAGCCTACACCTCTGTGACAGTAACCGAAGGATCGCAGGTTAGGGAAAAGCGCATGCCCGTCCAGGGCGATCATAATTTGCGTCAAGTTGTGCGGGCTGAGACCAGCGTCGTGGTAATTCAGGATGAACTCGCGGACGAAAGCGCCGTAGTAGCGCACGCGAGCAAGATCGTCGGTGGTAAGGATTCCGATGAGTTTCTGTAGGCAGTGTCTCGTCAAGCTCCAAGATAACAAGCTCACGACGGGGAGGCTCACCGCACCCATAACTGCACGAGTGATCTTGTCCTCAGGTAAGAGTTGGACGAACGCGTCAAACGACCAATGCGTTGCCCATAGGACGCGCAGGGCGGGCTCCATGAAGTCCCTGCACGTCCTGGCGAGGGCTGCAGCAGAAGCTTTCTCCTTCTCGTCGAGCGCGGTTTCAAAGACAAAATAGAATATGAGATCGCGAAGCTCCGCAGTACGCAGAACGACATGCATCCTCGACGCAACACCGGTAGCCTCACGCCAAGAGGTCCTCGGAGCTGCGATCGGGTACATGGATCTGGTCGCGTGCGCCGCCGGTCTCGGACGCGCGGCAAACTCCGTCCGTCACTAGAGTGGTTGCTCAAAGCTCGCGATGACACCTATTTCTGCCCAGAAGTAAGCTGTGAAGGTTATGGAATACTATGTACACCTCAGAGGTGGTAGTAAGCGAGCACAAAGTCGCTGTAGGTGGCGGGTCGCGGGCGACTTTCGGTGAACGCCGGCGGTGGGCGGCAATGCATTGCTGGACCTCGAATGAAGCTCACTCTTCCTGCTCTTATTTGCTCTCGATGTCTTTGAGCTCAGTCCTAGGATATCTACGGTGTATTGAGAGGGCAAATGGGCCAGTCTAGCGACGCTGGATGAGGCGGCGGCGGGCCAGCGTGCGCGCCAGTGGGGCGCGGCACGCGAGCACACGCGACCAGATCCATGTACCCGATCGCAGCTCCGAGGACCTCTTGCCTCACGCTGAGAAGGCCGACGGGGCGCAAGCGACAATGAGCGCGAGATCCAATGCGGAGGAGGAAAACAATGCTCACGTGGCCGCGTGGAGCGCCACGCGTGACGTCACCTCTACCGAACTTGAACGTTCGTCCGTCTTCTTTCGAGTCCATCGAGGACCCCGGGCAACACGCCTACATGTCCGATCCTTGTGCGCCGGATTGGACCCCCAGAAACCGCCGAGGCCCGATCCCAATGCGCCGGATAGTCAGTTTGCGTGCCGAAGGTCTGATCCAACGTGCGCCGCGTGAGAGCGTCGAGAGCCAGGTTCGATCCATAATGCGACGGTCTTCGGGTATTCCGGCTGCTTCTCGCTACGCCAGACCAACAATGGGTGGGCGCAACCCTTCCGCGGCAAAGGTCCTGGGCTTGGGGTGACCTGTCGCTGGCCATGTCCGATCCATAGTGCGACGGAATTTGGCTTGAAAGTGCGTGTCCGATCTCAATGCGACTGAAAGACCCCCAAACTGGCAAAAAACCGTGCGACGGGAATGTCCAAAAAGCCGCCTTTTTGGATCGGACCTCTTGGCGCATTGCCCGGGGTCCTGTCCATCGCCGCTGGCTCCGGCTGCACAACGGCGGATGCTGATGCGAGCTGCGCGGTAGGATATGTACGCCGTACAACCCGCAATTTGACTTCATCGTCGGTTATGGGACCTTCTCTCTTCATCGAATCTAATTTCTCACTGTGCAGATCAGGCTGCATTCGAGGTTTGAACGGGTGATCTCTTCCCTTGCTATTTATTGATCCCCATCCCGAGCAGCCCCTCCCACCTCCGGACCACCACCTCCTCAGCGCCCTCGATCACTCACGCACCATTCTTGAATCTTAGCCCCGTTCACGCCGCAAACGCAGAGAAAACCATAGATACAACTCGACTGCTCAGTTCCCTTGCAGCGTCGCCTGTTTGACTTGCGCTTCGATTGCCGCGACCGCGAGGTCCCGCCCACGCAAGTACGCGGCGTTCGCTGGCTGTGACCAAAACATGATCTCTAGACTCAGGTTCGGTCCCCTTCTGAATGAGTGTACCGATTACGCTGTGGATACTATTGACCCAGCCCACCTCATTAGCCCTGCTAGCTCAGTGGTAGAGCGTCGCACTCGTATACATGCCTGCTACAAAGGTTTCTACGATGCGAAGGTCAGTCGTTCAAGTCGGCTGTGGGGCATATTACCGAATGAACACCCTCTTCGTTTTTGTCTACACCGTAGACATCCCGAAGCGCAGCGTCATGAGTATAAACCCCAGAAGGTATCATCATTACGTATGCGTCAAGGACGGTATCATTATGCGTGTGCAACGGTATCACTATGCGTATGCAGCGGTGTCAATCATTCATTGTAAGCAAGTAACGAGTACAATAGTCCCTATATGTCAAGCGCACTACCCTATAGCACCCAAGTAGCGTCAACCAAGTAGCATCCCCGCCATCCTATAACACCCATGAGAATCAAAAGCAGCACGCGGTCAGTTAGTCCAGTCCGTTCTCCCTTCCGACATCCACCTCCTCCGCTCACTCACTATCCATTCCCCCGTTTCCCAAGCTCCACCCTGTTACCGCCAGGCACGTTCTAGGGTCTGCAGGAGGAGGGAGTTAGTACAGGCGTGAGTGTGCCACATTTCCGAATCCGAAGGAAAAAAGCGAAGGGAAACGAAGGAACGAAGGCAACGAACGAGCAGTGAGAATGAAGAGAACGAACGAGCAGTGAAGACGAAGAGAACAAACGGACGCAACGAACGAAGCAGTCAAAACGAATGGAATCGGAGCAAGCAATACGCACCTCCCTCGGCCTCGGTACACGCCCTGAGGGCCCTCGCGATAACTTGGACGCATATGCGCCGGTCGCGCCGTGAGGGGGCGACGGACCAGTCAACCCGTACGGCGGTGAAGGTCCAGCTGAGCCGTACGGCGGTGAAGGACCAGCCAACCCGTGCGCCGCCGATGGCCCGACGCCATAGGGTGGTGAAGGACCAATTGAGCCGTAGGGCGGTGACGGACCAGTCAAACCATGCGGCGGTGACGCGCCATAAGGCGCCGACGCGTACGGCGGCGACGTCGTGGCCACAAACCCAGGCGGCGAATGTACGAAGCCGGGCGGTTGATCGACGAAGCCCAGTGGTGCACCAGCCACGTCGCACGACGATATTCCTGGACCATCGACAACGCCGGACGGTCCATCGACGAAGCCGGACAGTCCATCGACAACGCCGAGCGGCGCACCAGCCATCCTCATCCCACCCCCTGCACCCAACGGCGACGGCTCAAACGGCGGATAACCCTGACAAGAGGTACGAGCGAGGAGATTCCGAGGGACCTATACAAGTCGCGTGTGAGCCTCAGCGATGAAGGTAAAAGCTAGTTCCGTGTGTGCTACCGTACCTATACAAGTCGCGTGTGACTACAGGGACGTTAGTATAGGTGTAAGGTATGCATAGGAAATATAACTCACGCCTCAGCGATGAAGGTAAAAGCTGAGGCGCGTCGTCGAGACGATCGAAGTATCTATCGGAGATAAGTCCGTAAAAGGAAACCTATGGGCGCATATGTGCGCAGAGATGAATATATTCTAACACTCCCCCTCAGCTCAAGCACCATCTAAGCCCAACATCTCCCGAAAACGAATAAACTTCACCGTTCCCAATGCCTTTGTAAACAAGTCCGCCACATTATTGTCCGTTGCACAATAGCGAATCTTGAAATGTCCCTTCTCGACCGTCTGCCGGATCCAGTGGTAGCGCACGTCGATGTGCTTCGTCCGCTCGTGGTGCACCGAATCCTTCGTCAAGGCGATCGCGTTCTGGCTGTCCGTGTACAGCAACGTCGGCTGCAAAGGGTAGAGTCGGCGCTCGTCGTCAAAGAAACTCGCCAGCTCCATCATCAACTTCTGCACCCAAATAACATCCTTGCCAGCCGTGCTCAGGCTGACGTACTCCGCCTCGCCGCTCGACAGCGTCACGATAGGCTGCTTCTTCGACCTCCAGATCACCGGCCCCCTGCCGATGTAGAAGACGAAGCCGGAAATCGACTTCCGGTGGGCGTGCGTCGAGGCCCAGTCCGAGTCGGCGTATCCGACCGGATTGACGTGCTTCCCTCCGAGTACGAGCTTGACGTCGCGCGTCCCCTTGAGGTAGCGAAGGACTCGAATCGCATACTTGAGGTGCGTCGTGCGCGGCTCCTCGAAGTACTGCGACAGCGTCGAGACGTAGAACTGGATGTCCGGCCGAGTGCACGTCGACGTCCATATCAGCGACCCAACGAGTTCGCGGTACGTGCCTTTCTCCTTCTTTGGCAGCAGCTCCGACGACATGCCTGGCGCCTCGTAGCTGAGGTCGGTGCCCGGCTCGAACGGCGTCACCACGGATCGCGCGTCTTGCTGACCAAAACGCTCGACCATCTGGTCGATGTACGCCTGCTGTCCGAGGTGGAATGTGCACGCCTCCATGTCGCGAGTAACGTGCATGCCGAGTAGCCAGTTGACCTGCCCGAGGTCGACGAACTCGAAGTGCTCACCGATGCGCCGCTTGAACTCGTTCGCGCGCGCATCGCTGTCGGCCACAATCACGAAATCGTCCGTCGCCACGGTCACGACCGTGTATGCCGCACCGTCGATGGCGTAGAACAGCGCCTCGTCAGCCGAGCTGACCGTGAAGCCTAGCGTGAGCATCGTCTCGCGCAACTTCTTATACCATCCTCGTCCAGCCTGACGCGTCCCGTACAGGCCCTTCCGCAGCTTCCCGCATACGCGCTGGCCCTTCAGGTGCGCCGGAATGGGGTAGTACTTCTCCCACATGTCCGGGAGCTCGATGTAGACGTCGGTGTCGATGTCGGCGTTCAGGTAGGCGTTCCTGATGTCGCCTTGGTGGACGACCGCCTTCCGCTTCCCTGCAACTGTGAAAACAATTCGCAGAGTGGCCTGACGTACGAATGGGGCATAGGTGTCGTGGTAGTCGACGCCGTGAATCATGGCAAAACCACGGGCGACCAGCCTCGCGCGGTATCGCACCACGTTCCCCAGCTCGTTGCGCTTGAGCTTGAAGACGAAACGGACCTTGATCACGTTTGCGTCCTTCGGCACTGGTATGACGTCGAAGGTCTTGAGCTTGCCGATCTGCGTTAGCTCCTCGCCGATGGCCTTCTCCCACTTCTCCGCGTCCGCCCTGCCCAACGCCTCGCGCACCGTCACCGGCTCCACCTCCATCTCCTTCACACCCGCCTTCAGGCCGAGCTTCTCCACGAGTTGGTCCCAGCTCGAGTCGAACTCCGAGCCGCCAATATCGACCTCCTCCTCCGGTACGTCCCTGATGGGAGCGGCAATGCACACGAACTTCTCGACCTCGTCGATGAAGTTGTCCCCATCGCCGATGACGACCTCTTGGGTCTCGACGGCCTGGGCGACATGCTGAGGGCGACGTCGGAGATCCTCCTCCTTGTAGTCGACCTTCGGCGCGTCTGCGTTGCGCGCGCTACGACGTGGCTCGTGCACGACTTCGTGCGGTGCCGGGACTGGTTCGGGCTCGGGTTGTGGTGATGGAGTAGGTGGTGGCGCGTCCGGCGGCGGCGATCTCTCGTCCGGTTGCGCTTTCGCGGGCGGCGGCGGCGGCGCTCGAGGTGCGTTTGCGGGTTCGTCCAAGGCCTCGGGATCGATATGCAACGTCTCCCCCTCGGGACCGTTGGCCTTGGCGCCCGCGCGCGCCTCCTTGTCATCAAAATAGATGTTGCGCTCGACGCCCACCCTGCGCTGCTTCGGGTAGTAAACCCGAAAGCCCTTCGACTCCTCGTCGATGCCAACGAAGCGCACCTCCTCCACTCGTGAGTCCAGCTTCTTCAGCTTCTCCTTGCGCACCCACGCCTTGCAGCCCCAAACTCGCACCTGCGACATGTTCGGCGGCTTGCCCGTCGCCATCTCGAACGGCGTCTTGCCAGTCGGCAGAGCCTTCGTTGACGTGCGTGTGTCCAACCAGCACGCGTGGCGATGCGCCTCCGCCCAGAGCGAGTCTGGCAGACCGGCACTTTTCAGCATGGCACGCACCATCTCCATGAGATAGCCGTTGCCGCGCTCTGCGATGCCGTTCGACTGTGGCGAGTCGTGTACGGTCTTGTGGTGAATCGTCCCCTCGCGGGCGAGGTACTGTTCAAACTCGCCTGAGATGAACTCTCCCCCTCGATCCGTGCCCAGTACGCGGATATGCCGAACGCCGCGATGTAACTTGACGAACGCATCGTACTCGAGGTGCTTGCCGAAAGCGTCCGACTTTCGCGCAATGTAGTACGGCCGCGGCTCCCTCGAGTGGAGGTCGCGGTAGACCTGTGCGTACTTCTTGCCACCGATGGACTTTGGAAACGGACCCTGCAGGTCGCATACGGCCTTGTCGCCATACGCCTTGACGTCCTCGTAGGTGCCGACCTTTGCGAACGGCTTTCGCTTCGCCTTCCCCTCGAGGCACCCGACGCAGAACTCCGGTTTCGAGTCCATGTCGAGGTTGATGCCTGTAATGTGTCCGTCCACGACGGATCGCTTCAGCGCATCGTGATTCTTGTGGCCCATCCTATTGTGCAGCTCCGTGATGGAAATCTTCGGGAGCGCGGCGGCGGCGGCATAGCCGCCCGAATGGCCATGAGTGTCGACGCGGTAGAGTCCGCCGACGAGAGGGATGCGCCCGATTACCCTCGAATTCGGCAGCGCGATAGTGCATAAGCCTCCCTCGATCTTGACCGAGCAGCCTGCGCGATCAAGCTTGCTCACCGAAATCAGCGTGAACGCCATTTTCGGCGCGTAGAACGCCTTTCGGAGGCGCGTGCGGGTCAACGGCTCACCGTCACCCATAGGCATGTCGACAATCAGGTCACCCTTCCCGGTCGCGACGAGCGTGTTGCCGTCGGCCGCGGTAATCAGTGATGGGGGAATGTCGACGAGATTCTCGAAGCGTGGTAGGTCGCCTGAGAAAAATGATGAAGCGCCGGTGTCGACGAGAGTGGGCTTTGAGCGCGCCGTAGCTGGCAACGCAAGCAAGGCCGGGTTGTTGCGGAAGTCTGAGGTGATGGAGAGCGCAACGTCCGAGTCGTCCGCACCTTGGGGAATCGTGATCAGCGCGACCTCGTCGTCGCTGTCGTCAACGCCGGAGCTCTTCGCGGCATTCGCCTGGCCCTTCCCCTTCCCCTTGCCCTTT